ACAGACGGCTCACTTGTCTGGAGCTACAGGGAAGGCTTCCTGGAGGAGGTGACCATTGGGACCCTGCCATCCACCTTTTCACTCAACAGATACAGTCCTATGCCAGGCCTGGCGCTAGGTTTCAGGGATCAGAGCTGAATAGGTCACAGACCCTGCTCATGAGAGGCTCACATTCCAGGAGGAGACACAGGGAAACATAAATGCAGGGTGACATGGGCCAAAACAGAGATGAACACGGGTCTGGAGAGGGCAATAAAGAGGGGTGGTCGTCTGCAAAACACGGGGGCTGCCCTGGGCTCCTTTCAAAGTTTCTTGCAACTCTGTATACCAATGAGTTTACCCCCAGTCGCTTCAGAGTCTGTCAAGATTCGAATCATCAAGAAGACACTGATTCATCCTCAGCCTGGCTCAATAGCCCGAGGCACCTCAGTCTGGCTACAGCAAGACCTCTGCCAGCATCAAGCTGACCACAGGGGCCCAGGCTGCTCCCCGGATGTGCAGCGGCTGCACATGTGAAAGCCCAGTCATCACCGCACGTGCACTGGCCACGTGGCATGACGGGCCCCGAAGGTGTGGTCAGAAACCATCCCTGGAATGGGCAGCGGGCTGCCCCGGGGGCTGGGTGTGCTCAAGGGATTTTTCACAACCAGCAAGAGTTTTCAGGTGATGTGGTTAAGGGTGTAAGAGGCTCATTCAGCCCCACACAGGGCTTCCCACGAGCTGGGTCCATTTCCCATGAAGAACCAGGGAGACCGTGGGAGCCACGTTCTCCGGGCACCTTTGCTGAAAATTGGTCCCATGAGCCTATCACAGTAAACAGCAAAGTCTATCGGATCCTCAGACAGGGTACTCATCTTCCCCCAAACTCCAAACGCAGCCTCACACAGCCCCTCACCAGCTCAGGACCCGCAGACAACGGGGCGTGGGGAGGGAAAACAGGCTTCATCTAAACTGGAGGTGGCTGTCTGGAAGGTGCAGTGATGGATTATTGATGTCTGCTGTAGGAGTGGTGGCAGCATATTTGTTAAGCCTGGAGGAAGTTTAGTGGGACAAAGGAAAGCCTTCGGCACCTGTAATTTTCATTGCACATTCTTGGTAGATGGTCATCTGTGAATGGCACACGAGTCTGCACGTCTCCATGGGGATATGCGTATTTGCATACAATTGATCTGAATCGTCAACAAACCAGAACATCACATGTCCAAGCCCTTTTAGATCCTGAGAATGGATGGAAAAATACAAAGCCACACCCACTTTCATATGTTACGCATTATGATCATCGACATCGTCACATCCTCATCCTTATCATCATCAGCAGCTTCACCATCATCATTGGCACCGCCGTCCACAACATCAGCACCGTCACCACCACCACAGCCACAGCAGCTATTGCTTGTACAGCGTGTCCCATGTGCCGGGCTGTGCTCAAATGCTTTATATGCATTAGCTCACTCATTCCTCACACTATCTCTATAAGCAGGTACTTTTATTATCTATTTTACAGATAAACAGAGGTCAAGTAGCTTGTCCAAGCTGCCCAGGCAAGATCTGAACCCCAGCAGTCTGGCTCCGTGCTTTAACCACTATGCTCAACGGAATACGGACTGTTCATTCTCTCTTCTCAGGATGGAGAGTCAAGGTAGTGATAACCACCTGCAGAAAAGTCAGGGGGAGGAACGGGCCTTCCGACGCTGGGCTCGGGTCCCAACTCAGAAAGAGCCCTGCCCTCTCGGGCCTCCATTTCCCCATCTATAAACCACGAAGTGAATACCTGGGTGATTGCCAAGCTCCCTCAGGCCACCACTGCATGTGGCCTCCGGCTTTCAAGGCCTCCAGAAGTCCCTGCATGGTCCTCCGGGGAGAGCCAGTGGGGAAGCTCATGGCCCTTGGGTGAACACTCCAGCAGGCTCCATCGATTCTGACTGATGACTGTAGGTGGGTCCCCAGGGATGAGAAAACCTCAGGGCGAGTGGGACAGTGTCCACTCAAGTCCCCGGAACTCACGCCAGCACTCATTCTCAGAGGGTCTTGGGAGCGAGTGGCCGAACGATGACCCCCTTTCGGCTCCCGACAGTTATTCTCCATACCGTCAACATGGCAGCTCAGCAGGTAACGATCTGCCACCCATACGATCCTTACCTGTTCGTCAAGAACTTCCACTGGTATATAATTTCAGCGCCTGCAGCCCAAACCAGACCATAAGCTCCTTGAGTGAGGGACAAGGTTGCATCGCACCTATCACCTTTGAGCCCTGAGCGACCTATCACATTCGAGCCTGAACCCCCTGTGAGAGGTGGTGAGAACAGACGATGACAATGACGTTGATGGTAACGGCACCATCATCTGTACAGCAAGCGCACACTTCGCGTTGAGTGCGTACCGTGAACCAGGCAGTATGGTTGGCAGGTCCTGGTAAACTGCACTGCATTTCATTCAATTTTCAGGACTCCCTGTGGTGGGGGGTACTTGGGGCCCATATACCCTAAGGAGAAACTGAGGCTCAGGAGGGAGGTTCAGATCAGAGGTGGACGGCACCCCAGGACAGGCCAGTCCCTGCTGCCCTCTATCATTAGACGGTCAAAATCACACCATGGCAAGAACGAGCCGTCATGGACCCAGCACCCCACACCTCCCATGCCTCACATCCCCTCTGCGGGCATCATACAGGCAGCTCATCTCCTCTGAAGTGTCTGAGCCAAAGAGAGCCAACTCAGACTAAACATTTTCTATACGCCGATGCTAGTGCCAGGCCTGGCGCAGGCGCAGGGAACACAGGAACGAATGTGACAGATTCTCTGCAATCGAGGAGTTCACTGGGAGCCCAAATTTGACATCTGCAGTGTGGTGGCCACAACCCCAAGCCCATGACAGATTCTCCGTAAACGAGCTCACAGTTCAGTAAGGGAGCAAGACACGCAATTACAAGCCAGTCAGGAGTGCTGTGACGGAGGGTAGCCCAAGGGCTTCTGGGAGCAGAGTAGGTATTGCGGCTGTGTGTGTGTGTGTGTGTGTGTGTGTGTATCAGTGAAGGCTTCCCAGAGGAGGCAAGCATGATTAGGAATTAGGTGTGTGTGTGTGTGTGTGTGTGCGCGTGTGTGCGTATCAGTGAAGGCTTCCCAGAGGAGGCAACTCTAAAGCATGATTAGGAATCTAGAACACAAAGGGTGGAAAAGAAGCTCCAGGCAGGGGACAACCTGAGCTGGGGCTCAGGAACACGGAACGGCCCGGCCAGGACACAAGTGCTATTCAGTGCTTCGGGAGGGGAGGGCCAGAGGCCGGAGCCAGGCTGGAGACACCGGGAGGCCGCTGGCAGTGCCGGAAGCACAGTCACAAGCCTCCTCCTCCCATCCTCGCACCGAGGACGTCAGACCCACTGAGCCAGCAAGTGTGACTCCCAACCCAGGCTCAAGCACAGCGGAGAGCTGAAGATGGACGCTTGAAGGACATAGGGAAGCAGGTAGGAGACAACCTCCTGGGCAGGGAATGGCAGGAGGGGACCTAAGGAACTGGGCTGGAGGAGGACAGGCCGGGATAGTGGCTTAAACCGGCAGAGATGGGGGTCACCCTTGGCCTTCTCTTGTTGGAGCACTGGGCCTGAAGGGGGAAGCAGAGGGTCAGAAAACAGCCACATAGAGCCACACCTGTGCCACTTGGGACCACCAAGCTAACCTCCAGGCCTTGCCAGGGGCTGGGCCAGCCCATGCCACTGGGCTTTTGCTAACATCTTGCTCTATCTGCCTCCAGCCTGGCCTCCGTCCAGGGGTCTGTGGGTAGGCGCCAGCTCCCCCCTCAGGCTTCTGGGCCCCAGGCAAGGCCAGGATGTGGCCAAACCAGGCCGATGTCATCTGCCCAGCACTCAGCCTTAAGCAGATGCCCAACAAATGAGGTGGATAAACAACGTCAGCGTCCCAAGGAGGCGTAGCTGCTTCTCTCACAGAACTCCAGCTCCTGCGAAGCCTTGTGCAGAAGGAACAGGCACCCGTCTTGTTCCCCTGTGTCGCTGTCCTAACACAAACCTCGCTCTTCGAAAAAGTAAGGGGCAGGGTTCCGGTTCCGGTTCCGGTTCCGGGAGAAGAAAACGAGAGGTTAGAGACCCTTGCTGTGAGGATTAAGAGATGCAGGTTTGAGTACTGGCCAGGCCACTGTGAAATCTGGGGACCTTGCAGGAGAAGTTTCTCTTCTCTGAGCCTCCGTTTTCCTCATTTATAAATTGGGGACAGACAGGGAAGATCTGGATCAATGCCGTCATCCCGGGGTGCACATCCGTCATGCGCTGTTTCCAGCCGCTCCCCCTCCACCCCCACGCCGGCCCCGCCCTCGACCTGGGGAGTCAGAAAGACCACACAGACCCTTCTGGACAAATGCTCCCAAAGGTTCCGTTCGGTTTGGAGAAACTCGGCTCCAAAGACAGCCGAGGCGGCCCTTCCCTCCCTGACTGTCAGCTCTCCAGGACGCAGTTTCTAGCGTCAGTCAAACCAGCACCCCGGGGGCAGGAAAGGAAGGCCAGACAGGCAGACAGCACGAATCTACCTGTCTCTGCCCAAGCTCTTGTGCCTGAGCCAGCCCTGCCAGATGCTGTGGCCGGCTACTGAGCGAGTCTTTTAGAAGCGACAGGCCACACAGGGTGGTTTCAGCTTTGAAGTTAGGGACCTTGGGGATGTCATCCCAGGCCTTTACCCCACACACATCCGGTCAGGGACAGAAGGACAAATATGTCATTTAATGCTTCATCTCAATTTCTTAAAAAAAACAACAAAAAAGTTTCAAACGTGGGGAGTCGGGCACCCCGTGACTTCAAATTTCATCCCTAGGGAAGTGTCCCAGGCTCCCAGGAAGCCCGCAGCTTCTGTCCAGAGACCGAGAGAGGCCTGTGCTGTGGCACGCGTGGGGTGGGGGAAGGGAGGCTCAGCCCCTGCTGGCACTACACGTGGCAGGCAGCGGCCACCTCCAGCAGCCACGGCAGCCACAGGGTCTGGCCAGGAGGGTTGGGCTGGGCTCACCTTCACACTGCCTGCCTTCCCCCTTGTAGCCTGGCTTGCAGAGGCATTTGTAGGACTTGGGTGTGTTCTGGCAGATGGCATCGATGTGGCAGTCATCCGTGCCCTCCGAGCACTCGTCCACGTCGACTGGCCCTGTGTGGGGGGCGTAGGGGAAATGCTGGTGAGGTGTGGCCTGGGAAGCAGGCATCGGACAGTGGGGCAAAGAGCACCTTCTGCCTCCTGCCCTTCCATCCATCATTGGGGTGATTAACCGTCACGGCTGTCACGTAACAATCTGGTGTGACAAGTAGCAACTGGTAGCATCTTTGGGGCAGCCACTCTGTGACAGGCTACCAAAATGCTGGGGCTCACTTATTTTCACGACAACCCATTAAGTCCATCTACTATGCCCACTAAAAAGATGGGGAA